TCCGGAAGGACCCCCGCTTCCGGCAGGACCCTAGCTTCCGGCGGGACCCCCGCTTCCGGCTGAAGCCAGCTTCCGGCAGGACCCCAGCGCGCTGGCTCCCGACCCGCGAGGACTTCGGCCCCCCGCCCACGCGAGCTTCCCGGTGGGACGCGGGCACCGGCTCCCTCCCGCAAGGCTGGGGAGGCGCGTGGGCGTCCCTGGCGGGATGCGGGACCGCCTGCGCCAAGTGTGAACCAGTGGCCCCAAGTCAGCACCCACGGGAACCCCCAATTCGGGGCTGGGCGAAGAAGGCTTCGTGACTTAACACGTGAACCCCGAGGAGGAAGCCGCCTACGAAGGGCTTCTGCGGGCCCCCTGCGCTCCACTTTCACCCGGAGCTCAGCCGCTTCCGCGCGGGGCCCCGCACACTGCGCCCCACGGAGAAACCCCGCCACCCCAGCAGCCCCCAAAAGGAACTTCTGCACCTACTCAACCAATAGGACTGGGGCCTTCCCCACCCAAATAAAGCTCTACCAACCAGAGCGGCTTCATTCTGACCCATCAGGACGGTGCCTTTCGAACCAATCAAAACGAGGCTTGGGGACCCTCATTTGCATGAGAAAGGACCAATTCGGGGCCGGGGCAGGGGTTCTGCCTGATGAATGAACCCTGGGCCTGCGGCAGTTTTCCTTCCGCCGAAGCCCCTGGAGGTGCAGGCCCCTTGGCTGGCAAGGGGGGAGCCTAATACGCGGCAGTTACGTGAAATTCACTCTTTAGCGCCCACAAATAAAGTTTTATTAGGATCCTGCCGCACCTGTTTGCTTCCATAGGGCCTGTGACTGTTAGACTGTGGGGAGAGACCTGGAGTTTCCGCAGAGCCCGGGAGCCATTTACTCTCTGGCTGTAACAGAACACACTGGCCGACCTCTGATCTAGGGTCTTGAGTTCCCTTTATCATCTTTGCACAGCGGTGGGAGAGCTTTGGCGAGGTCTGCTGCACTAGACAACCCTCTCCAGACTCGTTAGCCGTTCTTTAGCCATTCCTGATCACACGAGCACTACGGAACACCTATAATTCCATGTAAGCTGGGGTCCACTCAAATGAGGCCAGGCCACAGCAGCTGCTGCTCTGTGCAGGCCCAGGAAGGAACTCAGAAGGAATG